CCGAGCTTGTGCACGATCATCACCCCAAAAAAATATGGAGTATAGAGTTCGTGTTGAAGGCCCCGGCCAACTCTAAACCCTAAACCCATGGTCCTATATCAAAGCTCCAGTCCTTGAGCCTGATCCTCCGAACAAGCCCTTGAATTGGTTTAGGGTTTACATATAGTATCCATTGTAGTTCCTTGTTTTGGTTTAACCAAGTATATATCAGGAATTTTATAAGGTATCCCCCAAAAGGAATTACAGCCACAACCTACTCCGTTTTCCGGATCCCCAGAAGTTGTATAATTGCAGCAACAAGAAGTTCCACAATTAAAGACCCCGACCATGGCTACCGATTTCTCGGTTTAGGGTTTAGGGGTCTAGGGTTTAGGGTTTCGGGTTTAGGGTTTAGGTTTAGAGCTACAAGTAGGATCGAAACGAGGATAATCTAGGGATCTGCTTAAGAAAAACCTGGGTCATTATTCGGGCTCCTTACATGGACCCCTACTTGGAGGGTCGGGGGACTCAGTAAGGAGTTATTCTAGTATCATAACCCCAATTAGGATGCTGTTTAGGATACTTATAATTCTACATACTGCCTACTTCCTAAGTCCCCAAACCCTCCCCAAGTATTATTTCGGGGTTATAGGGCCAGGGCTGTTTGATGAGGCTCCTGCATTAGGGGGTGCTGGGGTCCAGGCAAGCTTGGACCTTCGGCGTGAAAGGTTTCGTGCCTGTCCTTTAGTGTCCAAGTGGTCCCTGGTATACATGGTTTTTGGGGTACGCCAAACAAGGCCCCAAAGTCGCTTAGTTAGTCTAGTACTTGGACCTTTAATGTGTTTTGCCACAAGTTTCTGACGTTCTAATTCCGCTCTTGAGGAGAAGCAGCGTCAACGCCGGCGAATTCGGCAGGACAACGACAAGTCCGCAGCGAAAGGGATCCAGGTAGCTTCTTGGCTGGCAGAGAGTTTAAAGGTCCAACGTACAACACTGTTAAGCTTTGGGTTCGTTTAAGATAGTCTAGTTTCACTCTGACAGTGTCAACGCAAAAGTCGTTGGTTTACAGGGAAATAAGAACACCAGCCGGCTCCAAACACTACTCATATCGGAGCCACTTAAAAAAACTATTGCAGCTGGCTCCTGGTACAGAGGACCACTTTGTACTTGTAGGTATGTGGGAGCACTTGATGTATGGTCAAACTTTAACTTTAAAGCCACAACTGCACGTCCCGGGTTGTAGGGCCTGGGCTGCCGAGGGTTGAGGCTAGAGTTGAAGTCCTGCAAACAGAATTGGGTTTAGGGTTTAGGGGGATTGTGTAGGGTTTCGTAGCCGCAGGAGTCGTTCTCATCGTCGTACAGCGGTTTCCTGAGTGGCGCTGCTGGTTGTTGCTACCGTTGTCGCGGCTGCGGTGGGGCTATACTGCTTGCCGGGCTACAGCTCTGCTGATACGGCTAAACCATGTAGTGTCAGTGAGGCCCACTCCAACCCCAACTTGCGACCTACCTGTAGTCTCCATTGTAGTTCCTTTTTTGGTTTAACCAAATATATATGTTTAGGACCCTGTAAGGTAACCCCCAAAAGGAACTACAATGGGTACTTCAGGTAAACCCTCAACCCAACTTTGGACCGTCTCCCTGTTCTTTTGTTTCAGGAAAACGCTAAGCTGCCGAAGTGGCTACGCGGGAACTCCCCTGAGGACACGGTCTGTTTTAGAGGTCTTATTTTATCCCTGAGGGTCCAGAGGACCCAATAGTTAAGTACTTTTGTAGCGAGGCCATGAGTGAGGTGTTGTGGAATATAATTCCATCCAGAGCAGGTTATTGCTACAACAATATATATTACATAGATAGATGTTGACCCCCCTGTGAACAAATGGACCCCCGAGTCGATGGATTTTGCACTCGCATGAGCTTCTGGATCCATCGTCATATTGAATTTCGAGCCTTAGATGCCCCAATATCGCAACACCAGTGCAATATGACCTGAATGCAATCCCAGGGGCAACGAATTTCGAATTGAATCATCGCGAGGGCTCCGATCATGATCTACGGCACGTCGGGAAACCTGGTATGGCAAGAATTCACATATGCGTATGTACATGCAAGCGAACCCACACACTGCAGACAGGCCACTGCTTGTAAACTCTCTGAAAAAACGAATTCTCCAGCGTGTGGCGGTGGCACATTTTCGAGATAGCTGCACAGGGACACGAATCGCACACACACACACATGCATGTGTCTCTCTAGCTAGCTGCTCTGTTCGAATCCGAGCAGGCCTTTTGCCGTCGACATGTAGGACTCGTCTCTGAATGTATGACAGTACTTCGGATTCATGCCTTAGATGAGTCGCTGCATGAATTAATTAATCATTCTCCCGGTATCGTCGGCGACAAAAATTGGTCCAAGTGGCCGTCGACCCATGCCATGTGGCAGATCTCTTGAAAGACCTCGGTTCATGATCGATAGAAAGCTCGAATTCGAATACACATTAAATTGCATCCCAGTTAACCACATGCGATGCGTTGAATAGGAAAGCGACGTGGATTTTGGGTCGGAAGATCCATAGTCTTTCGCCATCCGCAGCGGCCATCTCGGATATTCTTGCGTATGCTAAGCAGCACCTGTCCTCGGTAATTGAAATTCGCGACAAGCAGCACTCCGGAACCATGTGCCTCTATATCACGTGCATACCAAGATTCGCATGCCTCGCAAAGGCCTTCGCGTTCCTCCAGACACATGAAGCGGGGATACTTCTCCATCCGGTTGAAAAACTCTCCAAGCCAAAACCTCGGCGTACAAGTCGACAGCTAGAGTTGTACCTGCACCTAGCGTATGCATATGTCCAAGCGGCACAGCTTTGAGCATTTCTTTCATGCGATCGGTCTGCATGTCCACACGGTCGGCGTGCAGCTGGATCAAAAGATCAGACAACCAGCCGGTCACCACTCGAGCCTGATATTAACAATATTTGATTCGCCGACTCGACTCATCGCATATGAACCAGCTAGGCAACGTTATGCCCTTTCATGCTCAGCTCTGCGTAGCCCGTGGCGGCATCCCGCAGATCTCGAGCTTTGAACTCTGGTTGCGAGTGCCTCGAGATTTTTTCGAAAAAGTAATATATTTATATATAATACTGCTATTTAATAATAAGAATCCCACAAGAAACGTGTAATCATTCAGCTAGCTAGCTCAACTTTCTTCGCTCGAGCCCACACCACGAAGTCCTCGTAAGCCAAAGCCAATCGTGCATTCAGACGATCAGCAGCTCGCGTGCCCTGAGGAGCCGCCCACAGATCCTGCTGCAGAATCGGATTTTGCATGATCATGATATATCGCGGTTTTCTAGCTAGCATGTGCACGATATCGGTCCTCGAACTTGAGGAGCTCTATCAGAACAGACCCGGCGGTCCACAAACACATACCGAGGTTGAGCGAGTGAAGTGTGCAAAACTTCAGCTTAGAGTGGTCGAAGTAGTGTAGCTTGAGAAGGTGACCTGATACGGCGAAAAAATAATATTTGTAGGATATGATTAAATGAGGGGGGTATATATAAAAAATAAAAACGACATTATGATGAAGAGCTAGGTGTCACTTCACACCCCTATGTGGCTTGCATACCTCCGCGAACTCGGCAAGCGTGCGGCGTGGTTGGCGACGTAGCTGCGATGGAAAAGTTAGATATGATGCTTCGGTACAGAAGCATTGATGACATATGGAGGCACAGTTCCAAGCAGCAGAGAGGTTGAATAGTTCCTGATCGCGGTTCCGACCCCAAGCTCGAAAAGATGATATCTAGCAGTTATATTCCGTATACACACCGTCGACTACTGCACCCAAGCTGCCTTGTGGAACTTCCAGTCTGCCCTAATCTCCGTCAGGGTAGCCCTTGGAAGTGTCATGACCTCGCCAGACCGAGCAACTTCCTTTGGGTCCGTGCTCACATCCTCCGGTAGAATAGTGACCACATCCAGCTTTGTCGGACAAACACCCAGAAAGAGGTAGTTGAATGAAGCAGCGATCTCGGTTGATTGTATGCAACTATTAACCCAGCTAAACCCTAAATAAGAAACCCTAAACCCCAACCCTAAACCATAACAAACCCCTAAACCCTAACATATTGTACTGTACCTGTGCCGTGAAGGAGCGATCTCGGTTGATTGTATGCATAACTATTAACCCAGCTAAACCCTAAATAAGAAACCCTAAACCCTAACCCTAAACCATAACAAACCCCTAAACCCTAAGATATTGTACTGTACCTGTGCCGTGTGGGATTCCAGCGACAAAATCTAGCCAATCTGAAGCCTAGCGGCGGGCCGGAGGTATGCCTGGAGCGTCGGGAAGCCGGTGCTCAGAGCCTGAGTTTGCATACTCCGACAGCATATTGATTTCGAGCTCATGTTTTATCATGAGATGAGCTAGCAACACTGCAGCATACACTTTTCATTCGATACCAAGTAGCGGCACGAATAATTATCAGTGGCCACCGATCTTGAGCAGGATCAAGGAGGCAGTTCAAGGACACAGCTATAATCTTCGCTCCAGTGTCTGTGTAGCGAGCGTCGTCTCCATGAAGACCCAATGGGATGGCGTCCGGGGGCACATTTGCTGCCCAAGGGAGCTGCTGGGCTCCGAAGTGCTTCCAAAATTGTCGCAATTCGGAAGTTGGGCATACATTCGGTAGCCGTCCTTCTTTATGAAGAGCATTCAGCACGTCGTGCGGTAGCACGACTGGCATAGGCCTAGGATGAAGCTAAGAATAGTCGTATAATACTAGAGGGTTTCAAAATATATATAATAATAAACGAAATCTGAAATATAGATTTAGACCAGACTCCGCTCCTCCACTATCCAGGTTCCTCGAAACTTCTTTCGGACAGGCACCGGCACCAACCGAGTCTGAACCTGTCAACATTTGTCACGGGGCGACGAATTTTGGGAAAGTTTAGGACTCGGGTTTCGGGCTATGCTGAGATAGGCCTTGCAAGGGCTGGGTCGTCGCAACACATCCCGTTCGATATTGGAGACGTGCTCGCCACATGCTCCAGCAGAGGCTAAACCAAGCAGCCCTCGTCCAGGTTGGACATCGTTGCATTCATAATCCTGCTGGCGTGCAGCTTGCAGCTCTTCTATATTGCAACTCGGAAACTGGCTCGGATTCTTTCATTGTTCTAATAGGCTTTGGGGGTTTAGGGATCGGAAGAATTTTGGGTTTAGGGTCATCGCTTGGGGGTTTAGGGATCGGAAGAATTTAGGGTTTAGGGTCATCGGGGGGTTTAGGGATCGGAAGAATTTAGGGTTTAGGGTCATCGGGGGGTTTAGGGATCGGAAGAATATAAGGGTTTAGGGTCATCGCGGGTAACATCTCAGTCCTCAATGGCAGAATGTGCCACCCTCTGTGCAGCGGCATAGCTCAGTTCCTGCCATCTATACCATTGCTTAAGAATTCGAAGAGGGTTGTGTGGGTTGCATTAGGTCGGTCCCCGGCACAGATCATCGTCTGCAATCTGTTGTGCAGTGAGCTCGGCAGCTCGCCTGCGAAGGGCAAGCGCTATAGCTGTACATGTAGCATATCAATAATCGACATAGATCGATCATGAGTTGCATTGCAGATCATGATCCACTTGCATTTCGATCGCACCATTTTTGTTCTCGCCCCAAGACATGTGCAGGATCACCCACGGGAGTCATGAGACGGATTCCCTTAAGCTTGAGGTTTCGCGAATTTCAACCCTTCTCGGAGGCACTTGCGGGCCCCATATTATTGCTATCTAGCATGTAGATATCACCTAGAGGCGTGCACCACACTCGCTGTGAGGAGCAGGCCTATGCAGCAAAAAGCAGCCAACTACGGGGACACTGCAGCACTAAGGCCAACATGCTGCCATAGACCACAATCGTGACGATGCATATCCATGGCTAAACGATAATTGGACTCGGGCTCTCTACCAGCAGGACGTTATATATTATTAGGTCTAGATGCAGCTGCAGCCACAACAGTGTACAAATGTGTGCACTGTCACACATTTGCCCCGAGCCAGCTCATATAGCAAGCAAGGTTCGAGTGCTCCCTCACACTCAGCCTCACTTCTTGGCTTTTGACTTCGTACTGGGAGCCTTCTTCGGGGCGGGCTCGGCCTTGTGACGAGTGGATTTAGGGTTTGGGGTTTAGGGTTTAGGGTTTATAATAAGGGTTTAGGGTTAGTATGCATGATTGTTTCAGGATGCCCATACAAGCGTGAGATCCCACCAAAACTGTACATTAAAACATAGCTAGCAGTACACCAAGAAGCATACAGAGTCTTGATGGCTTTGATCGCAGCAGTATAGTCGTCGATGGCACTTTGCAAGGTCTCCATCATTGGCTTCAGCGTTTTCTCGTCCTTGGAGCCTTCGACACACTTCATATCCAAAGCCTCCGTGGCATTTTGGACCGGGGCCATGTGGAAGTCGATCTGACTGAGGTAGCCGTCAATCATCTTCGCTGACCTTATTATTTGTGATTGATTAGTTGATCAGGCCTGCTTCCAGGAGAGGTATAACAAGAGTAGATAGCTTTGGAGTGATAAGGGTTTGGGGTTCGGGTTTCGGAGTATAACCGTAGCTAGCCTTTGTTCGTCGCACGGATTTCTATACCTAGGATCAACACCTCGGGACCGAACCGTCTCAAACCGGAACACCGCCATGGGATTCACCGTGTAAGAGCTTCGGATTAGGGGGCGGGCTTTGGGATAAGATTCGCTAGGGTTTAGGGGTCTCTGCTGACATAGCGGGTGCAATCTTTTAATACATAATTTAATAAGAAGCCTAACCCCTTATAAAAGTACCCCGACTCCTTGATTCCAAAAACCTGAAGACACCGCCCTATATCCCAAAGTCCCCTTAAGAAAAGCTGCCTCAAGCCGGGAACCCTGCTGTAGCTAAGCCTTCGAATATCTATCTCCAGGCCCGTAAGCTGCAACATATTTGATGACGAGTATATATCGTTGCAGGCGAGAATCGCCTTCGGCTTCTCAGACTTTCCATCTTCAATAATCACTCGCTTCCAATACTTGGCATCCGTAACGGTACTTCGACCTGTCTTGATCTTTGCATTTGCCTTGCTTGCGAAGTTGGGCTGCTTCTTCGGTTTGTCCTCCTTGGTCTTCTTCGGGTTCGGCAGCTGATTAAGGCCATTACCGGAATCATTCTGCCGGCCCTGCGATGATCCACCAGCACTTGCCAGCAGACTCAGATCCTGCTGCCCCGTGGCGGCCCTGAGATGAAGCACAGATGCATAGCTTTTAATATATGGGTTTAGGGTTTAGGGTTTATAGGGTTTAGGGTTTAGGGTTTATGGTTTTGTTGTGCACATTAACGGATCCATAGCTTTAAATATGGGTTAAGGGTTTAGGGTTTAGGGTTTATGGTTTTGTTGTGCACATTAACGGATCCAGCCGTTTAGGATTTGGGGTCGGGGTTTTTAGCGACTAAGCATAATAATGACGAGTAACAACATTGCCTTGGTCTGCTGGCCATTGAAGTCCCCTGAGGCCCGGAAAGTCTCCTCCTTTTCATCGGTCATGCTCTTGGTGACTGTTGCTTCGTTGAAGACCAGGTACATTTCGTATTCCTGAGATCAAGCAGACCGCAGCACATTCATAGCTTGAAACTGTAAGTCATCGAGCTGGCATCCCAAACAGTGTAATCGAATAATTGAATTTAAAGATCAATCAAGTAGCCTCTACCTCCGGCCAGTCCGGGTGCTTGTACCAGTGGGGACAGTCTGGGTGGGCGTCTCCCTTGGTTAGCTGTTGCTGTTTGCGGGTGGCCCTAAGCTGCAGGGCCATTTCTGGCCCGTGCTCTGCCTGCAGATCCTTGAACTTCTTGTAGATCTGGGATCCACTTCTTAGAGTGGAGTCTTTGGAGGTTACCGTACGAACGATCGACGACTGCATCCAGTCCTCCTTGCTCTCAAGATAGGAGTCGAACAAGGCCTTGTTGAGCTTGCGATCTTAGCTGCTCGGAGGTCCGGAACAGTAGCGAGGTGCCCTAAGTATCTTTGAGTTTGCGAAACCGTACCTAACCCCACGACCCAACTTCTTAAGCGAAATATTCACCTATTCACCGAGCAACTTCCCTTGGCTTCCTGGGCCTTCTGCAAAACTTCAGCCGGGCAGTCAGGTCCTGAGGCAGTATAAGCAGGATCGAGGATTATAGGCTGAGAATATGTAATAATTGAAATATACACATTTAGTCGCGTGAACCGGTCTAGGGTCAGACAGGATTCTGTCGAAGGTTCGAGTCATCCTGTTGTACAACCGCTTCCTTGCCCTCTTTGCAACGAGAGCATGAGCAAGCCTCCGAGGATCCTTAGCCGGCAAGCTGGCGAGAGACGGATCCATCTGCAACTTGGCAATGTCATCCTCGTGCAGGCTGTCAAGTTCATCGGCCATAGCAATAACACCATCGCTGTTATCGCCCGGCTCCTGCCAACATCTATGCTATAATTGAATGTTTAGTCCTGGGAGTACACAAACACGACACAAGCTGCAATACAATTGGATGATGGTAACGGCAGTCCTCCCCCGCGTGGACTGGCGGCTCCAGCTTGGCCATGACACCGGTATCTCTTTGGGGAGTGGGCACGGCGGCAAGCACTGCACTTGCAGACGGAGTGGGCACAGTAGCAAGGGCACCCGGAGTGGGCTTAGGGGGCACTGCACCCGGAGTGGGCTCAGGGGGCACTGCACCCGGAGTGGGCTCAGGGGGCACTGCATCCGGAGTGGGCTCAGGGTGCACTGGATTTGCAGACGGAGCGGGCACAGGGAGCACTGCATTTGTATTCGGAGTGGGCTCAGACTCCACCGGGCCCGAAGCATGTGCAAGTGGATCCTCCTCACCATCATCATGATCAGGTATCGTCATGATCATATAGACGTCCATCGTCGCTGCATCCGGATCCTGTTCAATTGAGGGTTGGAGGGCCTCTAGTTGAGGGCATCAGATCTTGAGTTCTAGTTCGAAGGTTTGAGATTGACGATGGAGATCCAATGTTTGAGCAGGGTTTACGATGTGTTCAAGCGACATCACGTATTATGATTGCTCCCCTTAACCCGCTAGCTATATAAGCCCCCGCTAACCCCAACTATGTAGGCCTTATCCAAGGCGTGATTGTGGCGTGTGATTCGATCCCAACCGTTCGTGCTTGTGCTCCCCGAACCCGCTGGACCTTAAGCCCCTGAGCCCTAGCTAGCTATAGGCCAATGCAGCTATAAACCAATCCAAACTGTAGACCCAAGCCTCGAACCCAACCCGGAACCCCAAGCCCCGAAACCCCAAAGCCTACTCAATCTGACCAAAAAAATTTAAGCACTCTAATCCCGAACCCCTAGAACCTTTATCATTTCTCTTACCCGTCCCAACTCTAAGCCCTCCCAGCTCTGCCGCGTTAAGCCCTAGACCTGCTGGGCTGCTGGAATCTCCTCGGGCTCTTCCTTCAGAATCAAGGCCTGCACAGCAAAGCGAGGGCGGAGTCGTGGTCATTACAGGGGTCGGGGGTTTAGAGTTTAGGGCTCAGGGTTTCAGGGTTTAGGGGTTCCTTCAGAAACAAGGCCTGCACAGCAAAGCGTGGTCATTACAGAGGTCAAGGGGTTAGAGTTTAGGGCTTAAGGTTTTAGGGTTTGGGGTTCCTTCAGAATCAAGGCCTGCACAGCAAAGCAAGGGCTGAGTCGTGGTCATTACAGGGGTCGGGGGGTTAAGTTTATTTAGGGCTCAGGGTTTGAGGGTTTGGTGTTCCTTCAGAATCAAGGCCTGCACAGTGAGGGCTGAGTTGTGGTCATTACAGGGGTCGGGGGGGTAGAGTTTAATTTAGGGCTTGTATCAGGGTTGAAGGGCTTATTAGGGTTCCTTCAGGATCAAGGCCTGCACAGCAAAGCGTGGTCATGACAGAGGTCGGGGGGGTTAGAGTTTTCGGGCTTATGGGCTTTAGGGTTTAGGGTTCCTTCAGAATCAAGGCAAAGCGAGGGCTGAGTCGTGGTCATTACAAGGGTGGGGAGTTCTAATATTAGGGTATAGGATTATGATCAAATTTAAAGTAGCAAGCTTAAGCAAAAGTTAGCGTACATACCTGGGCCGATATATATATATATATATACTAGATTCTAGATATATATTATAAATATAGAATCGATAGCTAGATATAGATCATATATAGATAGCATATAGATAAATAGATCAAATATATATATATATATATATATATATGTATATTATTCATGCAGTGCATGTACATGTGTAATGCAAAGACATTGAACATGTATGTCATGTAGCACACGTCACCTCCAGCTGCGACGTCAGCTCTGCGTCATCTAGATCATCTAGCTGATCAGCGGCGGTGTTCGGATCCTGCTGTTCGACTGAGCCACCGATTGCTGCTTGAACCACCTCGTTCTCGGCGGGATTCTTCGGGGCATCCACGGCTGTGTCCGGATTTTGCTGTTCGCTAGAGCCACCGATTGCTGCTTGAACCACCTCGTTCTCGGCGGGATTCTTCGCGGCATCCACGGCTGTGTCCGGATCCTGCTGTTCGCTAGAGCCACCGATTGCTGCTTGAACCACCTCGTTCTCGGCGGGATTCTTCGGGGCATCCACGGCTGTGTCCTGCTCCTGCTGTTCAACTGAGCCACCGATTGCTGCTTGGTCCACCTCGTTCTCGGGGGGATTCTTCGGGGCATCCACGGCTGTGTCCAGCTCCTGCTGTTCGCTAGAGCCACCGATTGCTGCTTGGTCCACCTCGTTCTCGGTGGGATTCTTCGGGGCATCCACGGTTGTGTCCGGATCCTGCTGTTGGCTTACAGCAGCGTCCTTGCCTTCGTCAGCTGCCACATCCTCGGTCGCGACAGCAGCGTCCGAGCCGTTCAGGCCGAAGTGGTCGAAAACGTCCAGCGGCTGAGAGTCCTCTAGCTGCGTCTCCTGGAACAGCACTGACAAGCTGTTCTCAGCATTTTGTTTGCCGTCCATCTCTGTCCATTGCTTGTACATCTGCAGGTACTCTGGTGATGCGAGCTGCATCTTCTCTACATAGGTCAAGAGTGCATGCAGTCTCACACCACTCATCCTCAAAGCGTCGTCCAGCTTCTCCTGCAGATGCCGTCTTCTCTGTTCCAAGCCGTGCAGCTCGTTCTCTAGCCACTTCTTTGCGACACTCACTTTCCTAAGTACTGGGAAAGAGGATATCATGATAAGATAGCGTATACTACTATTATAATTATTATTATTAATCATGATAGGTACATGTACATGCATGCGGAACCATAATTATACCAAGCTTCTCTGTTGCACCGGCGGCCTTGGCTACCACGTTGGCAGCTGCCTCCTCTGCGGTCTTTCGCAACTCCGGTAGCTTGCGATCGAAATTCGATTGCACACGAAGCTCGGCCATGAGGGCCTTCACTTGCTGCTGGGTTCGCACGAACCCAGGCCTCAGGCTGGGCACACACTCTGCATCATCTTTGAGCAAAATGCTGGCATCGGCGTCGGCGAAGTCGGTCAGGGCCCATGCTCTGAAGGCCTCGACCCCCTTGGAGACCAAGGCGGCCGGGTGAAAGACGGCCGCTCCCCACTGATTCCTCGGCACCTCCATGAGGCAGTGCATATCCAGCAGATCTCGTCGGCCAGGCGAATCAGTCCACGACAGCGTGGGCTGAGAGTCCATACCGTGACCTCAGACTAATCATGGAACGAATTGTCAATTTAAGCACGGAACTGTTAAAAAGATCGACAGCAACATGTTCCATGGCCATCCCAAATGCAGCTTGCTTTGCACACCCGCTTGGTCGGCGGGGACTTGATCGGCGTACCGGCGGGAGTGCTCTGGGTAGCCGTTCTTTCATGGATCGTTTCCATCGCCGACAAGCGATGCAGCGGGGGCTTTCCTGGCAGATCTCGATATGCGTGATATCATGCATACATCGCATGCACTGCACTATGCCATGTAAAATGTCAATAGTGTATATTGTACACACATATACACAACACACGGTATACTGCCCGGCATGCAATGCAACAATTCCCATAGCTTGCCTTCGCCTGCGGCGAGAGCCTGGGCAATCTCATCTTCCACATCGATCTTGCTATCGGTGTAGGCCGAAGAAGCCTGAGGTGATTCGGTCTGTACGTACCACATACAAGATAAGGCCCGATAACCCATATATCGTCATTATATTCAATAACTTGCATCATTCATATATACAGCTATATAGCTAGCTATATAGCA